CATAGTGGCTGCACCAATTCATTCCTATCAACAGTGCACAATGGTTCCCTTTTCTCCACATCCTTGCCAACATTTGTTATCTCTTGTCTTTTATATGATAGCCATTCTAACAGGTGTGAGATGACATTTCATGTGGTTTTGCTTTGCATCTCCCTGATGATTTGTGATGTTGAACATCTTTTAAGGTACCTGTTGGCCATCTGGGATGTCTTCTTTGGAAGAATATCTATTCAGCTCTTCTGCCCACTTTTTAATCAGATTGTTTGCTTTTTGCTTTTTTTGCTATGGAGCTATATAAGTTCCTCATATATTTTGGATATTAATATATATATTAGAGACCCAGTGCATGAATTCATGCGTGGATGGGGTCCCTCTGGGTGGCCTGCAGGGATTGGACTGAAACCTGCAGTCCAATGCCGCCTGTAGCTCCTACCTGCCGCTCCCGCTCATCCCGGCCCCACTGTGCCTGCTGTGGGCTTGTGCCCAATCAGTCCCGATCAGGAGAGGCTCGAGCTGCCACAGCAGTGCTTGCCAGCCATGAGCCCTGCCTCTGGTGCCCTCCCAAGGGGAGTGGCCTGCAGGATTGGGCTGAAACCGGCTTTCCAACATCCCCGGAGAGGTCTCAGATTGCAAGAGGGCACAGGCCAGGCTGAGGGACCCCACGGGTACACGATCGATTGGGCTGGGGAGGGTCCTCGGGAGGGGTCCAGGGCGTGTCCAGCCCATCTCGCTCAGTCCTGATCTGCCAGACCCCAGCACCAAGCTAACCTACGGGTTAGAGCATCTGCGCCCTGGTGGTCAGTGCACATCGTTGACTGTCTGCACCTTGGTTGTCAGTGCCTGTCATAGCGAGCAGTTGAGCAGCCTTAGCATATCATTAGCATATTACGCTTTGATTGGTGGTTTGGTTGTTTTGCAGTTTGGTCTATTTGCATATTACCCTTTTATTATATAGGATATATGATTTGCAAATATTCCTCCCATTCATTAGGTTCCCTTTTAATTTTGTTGGTGGTTTTTTGTTTTTTTGTTTTTTTTTTTTTTTTGCTGAGCAGCCGCTTTTTAGCTTGATGTAGTCCCACTTGCTTATTTTGCCTTTGGTTACTAACATTTTTATCTTCTAATTTCTAAAGGTCTTTCAAAAGTCATCACTTCATATTGAGGACAATGAGAAATATGAGATTATGTTAGCTACGAAAGGCCTCCACAGGAGACAGAATATCTAATTTAAAACCCCTCTAGAGCCATAAGTGGTGAGTTGAGCTAGCAGAACTTACTTTGATTCTCCTCCTTTTCCTGTTGCTGATACCTGACCAGCCAAATCCATGACTGAGAAATGTGGTCAATCAGAAACTTCACTCTTGCCCTTCCACTACATGGAATCTGTTCAGTTCAAATTTTGGATAACAAAGTTCAATGATTTAAGACAAAAACTGCATTTTGGAAACTGCAATGCAATGAATGACTTTTGTCTCTGATAGTCACACAAAGCAAGCAGTTCATGTCTTTTTGGTAGATATGAATATGAATATGTCTCAAACAGTAATCCTATGGTGAATAGTGGTAGTCTAGGAATTGGGAGTTCTGCTTCTTATACTGAGTACTTATATTCCTTAGACCCCTCAAAGAAGGCATGGAAAAAGAGATCAAGTTATTAGATTAAAATACAAGAAAAAAAAGTCTAAGTTTTTCCTGCATAACTTTACTTTTTGGCCTCTGCCTCCACTATTTTATGCTAAAATTTAGTAAAAGACGACATCTGATTTATACACTGAATTATTTTAAGCTTCATTTACTGATACTTTATGTTCTTCAAAAATTACCCTGACTTCTCAGTGGTGTGCTTTCAGAACTAGCTTGTGGATCTCTGCTGTCATACTTAAGCTACTTCTGTTAAGGTGTATTAAGCCACTTTATTTTCCATACTGTTTAGTTTAGGTCGAGAAACAGTAGACTATATTAACAAGGAATTAAAATGCTCTCTCTTTTTCAAAAACAGCCACTAATATTGCAGATCACATTAAACCCTCGGTTAGTATAAACCTTGTTTATATCCTTACTCTGCTATCCAAAATAAAGTTGTATTTTTGTACAGGCACCATTTACATTAAAAACCAAGCTCATAATAACTAATTTAATGCCTGCATTCCTTTTGAACAATTGGGATATTATCATCATTTAATTAAAACACATCTACCTAAACTAAACTCCTCACCATTAAAAAACTTCTTGGAAAACATGCTTGTAATGGGGAATAAACAGCAACAATTGTTCTGACTGCTACATTGTTCTTTGCCACAGCAAAACAGAAGTGAGGAGTCACATGTAAGATTGAAAGTGATATTTTCCCAGTTCAAGAAATGTAAGCATACATCCCATTTCCGCCACACTTCCCGATAAGGAGGACAGCATGAGTACTATCTGCAGTCAGTTTAAATACTTGTTTTAATCCCGACAAGATCATTGGTCTTAATATTTAGAAGTACAATGCTTAGTGCATGTTGCTCATATAATCTAATTTTCCTGGTGACATATTATGACTATGCTTTCATTTCAGCAATGGCAAGAACTAGAAACACTGTAGCTTATCATTAGTAATGGAAAGCAAACCTGCTGCCTGTTCATACACCTTGTGCACGTATCTCATTTCAACTTCAAAGATGTTTAACTACCGGACACAAACCACCACACGATTGGGACAGTTTCACAGAATATTATCAACCAGCGGCCAGCCACTTTAAATTACGGCTACGTAAAGCAATTAAAGTTGAAATACTCTACCCTTGTGCAATATTTGTAAATCGCCTTTCAGAAAATTTCAAGACAGTCAAAGACGATGAAAACCAAACCACAAAACTGCTATAAAATTCCATTGTCTTCCTCCCCAGCCTCCTATCACCAGTTAGCAGTTGCCTGGATTGCAATTTTCTGTTTTCCTTAGATGTCCCAGCATAAGCATACTTTAGGACTAAAAGGATAAAACCCCCAGTGTCATGTTCCACTAATCATTACTATAAAACAACAAACCAAATAACTACAGGTGCCTTGTTCTTAACAGCACCAAGGTTCTCCAGGGCTCACTTGCACTTTCCCAGTGACAGGCTGAAGAAATTGGGAAAAAAGGGCTGAAAGCTAAATAACTGATTGCATTCCACAAGAGTGTACAAAAAACACAAATGCTACCAAAAGAAATATTCCAAATGCCAAGAGAAGTATTCGTCATTAAATAATTGCATTATTTTATGTTAATGTAAGGAAAGGTCATAATTGTGAATGAATATGTCCAAAATGCCTGTGGAGAAAGTAAAAAGAATACCTGAGGTTCCATTAGAAGCCAACTGAGAAATAACTGACATATTCCTCACACCCTTATTGCTATGCCATTACCACGACTGAGAGTTGCAGCTTGAATGGGATTGTTGTCATGTTTATTTTCAACATGATCCAACATTAGAATAACAAAACTTCATGAAAAAAAAAATAAGTAGGCTCATTACTAAAATATCTCTCACCAAACTCAGGAAGAGAGAGAACTCTCCCTGGAGTAATAAACCAGCTACAAAAGGAGATAATTCGCAGTGAATAAAGGAAATGCCACTTGGTATTCACAATAATAAGCATTGTTGCTTAATAGAATTCAGGGTGCACACCAGATTTTTCAGACATTTGAGTAATTTGTATCTGCATGTCCCAGCTCTGTGTGGGTCTCATCTGAGGGTGGTCCGCTGCTTAGCCATTCTAGAGAAGTTTGAAAGTCATTCTCTGTTCCCTTATTTGGGGATTAACTTCTTCACCACAGGCATGGGCAAATACACAACTCTCTGTCCCTGAAAATGATGTGATGCTGAAGCCTTCAGAGTGGACCTTCTCCCTAGGGAAGGCACAATGACAAACACACACAGGGGATACATACACCAGAGCACACATCTGCTTTAACCCCGCAAACCAGCACACAGTGGAAATGTTTCTTTGGGACGTTATCCAAAGAATTAAGACATGGAGTAATTTAAATATTTGGATCACAGTAAACCGTTTTTTGGCCATATTAATCATGATCCTATAAGCAAAGATTTTCTTTACATAAAAAAGCAACCGAATGTGCTTATCTCCTGTAACAGATGGTGACAATATGTACGGTTCCTATTCCCTGTTCATTATCATAGTCTGTTCACACTTCTTTTTCTTATTCTTAGGATTCTCTTGTTTTTCCATTTCTAATAGTTCCCAATACCCTATGCCCTATTCATTTGTTCACAAGTGGTTACTGAACATCCTGTAAAGCTAAGGCATGATGCTAGGTGCTATATGCAATGCTCAGCAAAATATCTCTTAAAGAATTGCCACTCCCTTCCTTTCCTTTTTTCTTCTAATAAATAGTGGTAATCATTTTTTATAGAGAGCTCTCTATAATTTGCATCCTGTTGATCATATCTTATTTCATACAGTGATAAAATATAAAAAATACATAAAATAGACTGATCATTTATATATTGATTTCTTTCCCTGGTGAGATAATATTACTAAGTGTTTAATTCAGTGATGATAAGAAATACAAACATATCTATATTATCATCAAAACTATGATATAAATGCTTTAGAGGAAGCTTAAGATTCTTTTATAAATCTATAAATCCTTGAACACAGTAACAATAATGGATATACTGAAGGAAAAAATCCAATTCCATGAATATAATAAAGGAAAAAGCATGTTGATGATTCCTGTGAAGAATATAGCTCATCTACGCATCCCCAGGTACAGGATCTATTCTAAAGGAATGAGAACTTCTCTAAGTCATATGTGGACATCACCCTCATCACTTCTTGGTTATATCACTTCTATGTGACTCACACACAGTTTTTGGCATTTACATAGTGAAATATGAGGTTTTAAATCTGATATGAGGGAGATAAAATGAAGAAGTCCTCTCTAAGAGCACACAGCGCTTCTATCTGGGAACATCAGAAATCACGCACAGAATAAGCATAGCATGTCTGCTCACCTTGGTAGGCTTCCAGCTAACTCTGTGGTCGTCTCTCTAGAGGGGGAAAAAAGAAGATATGTATAAAGAGCTTATCTTGTTAAATTCTAAAAACGTGTTTAATAAAACCATAATATAATGTTCCAAGGCATAACAGTACCATATATGTGCAAAAGATACTGTATATGCAGCTGTTCAGGAATTCAATATTGGTTAATCACATTTCTGATTAATTCCTATAAATGTTTCAATGGTTATTTTCAAAGGAAAATATTTTTAAATATATTTTATTGATTTTTTACAGAGAGAAAGGGAGAAGGATAGAGAGTTAGAAACATTGATCAGCTGCCTCCTGCATACCTCCTACTGGGGATGTGCCCGCAACCAAGTTACATGCCCTTGACCGGAATTGAACCTGGGACCTTTCAGTCCACAGGCTGACGCTCTATCCACGGAGCCAAACCAGCTAGGGCAGGAAATTTTACACACATGCAAAATATCTGCTTCTACTTCTTGGTGGTAGAACTTAATTAAGTTTAAAATATCAAAATTTAAAAATGTACAACATATAGAAGGAAACAGGAGGGGAAAAATCCTAAACTACCTTTTGAGATATTTTTTTCAGCTAAACAAATCATCTGTCTTCTCTTTCCAAGAATCATTTAGGAACATATTCTTTTAAGGTTGTGTCTTTGTGTTAATGCTGTCACTTGAGATTTATAAAAGAATAAATACAGCACAAAATCCAATTCTTTTAGTAGCAAATGACTGCTTTTCACGTCTTTGTTACAATGTCCTACCAGTTGGAATTATTGAAGGCACATGCTTATGATAATGCAAATGGCACAAAAGACAAGTCACTAGACCAGACACAAATTTAAAAACTGAATTTTTCCTAATCAATATTTTGTCCTTCTATCAGAGATGTGCTCTTGATAGCAATGTGAAGTGATGATGAGGAGAGCTTGATGTTGAGATATTTTAAAAGTGGAGCTGGGCTCAACTTTAGATGGACGGATTTAAAGTGTAATTCCTAGGGTTTCTGGGTTGAACTTGGAGGCTGATGTGCTTGGAGAGAACATGGAAGCTCCATATACCTTGTCCTAGGCATCTCTTCCATTTGGCTGAGTTCTGTCTTTCATCATAAACCAGTAATCTGGTGTGAATCATGTGACACAGTGACAGACGGTGATTTCCTGCTTTGGTGGGGCCTGGGTGTGTATGATTAAGGGATGCCTTTCGTCAAGAGACCTCTAGGCAAAACAGGAAGATAAAACTCAGATTTCAACGGGAAGAATACAACTTTGGCTACTCTCCAGACACTTCTTTGCAAGTAATAGAGTCTAGCATTTTTGTTTTACTTTTCCAATGAGATTTCTATTAAAAAGGTACAACCATCTGGTGGTGTTACTCCATTTTCATATTCCATGGAGCACTAGATCTTTATTTGGAAGTTTTTGACAAAATGTTCAGTGTATGACTTATTATCAACATTGTCAATGAAGGTCATCCTGGTGTCATCCCTGAACACCCTTCCCAACTGCCCGATCCATGAATAGCTATTCTTGCTGTTCATTCCATCACATGTCCTCAAAACTAACAGACAGAAAAGGGAAATAAATGGCTAATGAGTTACCACCACTTTTTTGCCCCCTCTCCAGTGGTGGGCTGTTGTCAGATTCTACTTCCTGCTCTAGCCCCAACATGGACTGAGGATTTGCTCTGAAAGCAGGAGTTCAACACATGTTCTTTTGACTCAATATCATGTTGACTTCTTTCGTACTGTTTTTCGTGTGTGTGTGTGTGTGTATGTGTGCGTGTGTGGAGAGAAAGAGAATTTTGTCCTACTGTGCTTGAAAACATAGTAAAAGTGCAACTGAAATTGAGTTGTAGTTTTGATACTTGTAAGTTGTCTTTGAATAGAGGGTGCTACTCTGAACATGATGCTAAGTATAGAAGAAATCAAAGAAAGAGCTACCATCTTTGTCTGAGGGTAGTATTTAAGAGGTACACCTAGACATTATAAAGGAGATAGAGGGAGGGAGGGAGAGCTGGAAAGAGGCGTAAATGGGAAAGGAGAATAAAGAGAAGAAAGAGGAGATTTAGGCGGTATATCCGATGGAGTTTAGGTGTTCTGGAAATATTAAGATCCAAAATAAAGTTGACATTTACTTTTCTTATAAAAACCTTCTTAGAAGAAAACAACAATGAAAGGTCTTCTAAAAGACATTTCTTGTGGACAATAAAATGTGGAAGGAGCAATTCTCTATATCATCTTTATAGTCATACAGAGTCCCAGGGTTTAGAAAGGGAATTTGCTCTCATCTAGGAATTAAGACTTTAGCACTAGGCAGCTAGAGTGGGGATTCCCTTCACTTTCCATGGACAGCTCTCTCTAAATATCATTTGCAATTAAATGTTTATATTACTTTTCAATATCCAAATGTGATTTTGAATTATATAGAAATCCATGTGTTTTTTTTGGTAAAAATTTGGAAAATACAGAAAACCCCCCAAAATAAAAATAACCTGTAATTATATAAGATAGAATTTCAATTTATTACCATTCAGTATTTATTTCTATGTGCTTATGTCTATATGCATTTTTCCATAAGTGGAATCACACTGTGCATAATTTTGAATTCTTTCTTCCTGTAACAAAAAATAAAAATGATATTTGATGGTTGTATTATCAAAAAAGCATAATTCTTAGAAACAATAGTACAACCACTTCTTTGGGTCATTTGATCCCTTTAAAAATCTCATTAAAAATATTTCTAGAAAAAAATTTACCTAGAAAAAAATAATATACCCATTCATACACACACAAAATGTGTACAAATGTAGATGGTGTATGAAAAAAAAACCCCCCCCCCCAAGCAAATACGCCAGCCATGGATCAGGAATCTCAGCTTTAAACTCACATTATCTTTATTCATCTTGTCAATTCAAATAAAGGACCTCCTTCATGAACTGTTTGGAGCCTTCCTGGCTTCTAGAACTTTCTCCTACTTATTTGTGATAGCACCTGGGTATTGGAGGGACATTCTGGTTCTCCTATAGAAATGTTCTTTCCTAAATAATCATACAATATTAAACCTTCAGCTTTTATTGGTATAGAAACTGGCTTTTGAGAGAAAGTATTCATTCACTCAGCAAATCCATAGTTGAAAGCTTTGTCCACTGAACTGCTGAATGTTTCACCTGTATTCATCTCTTCCAAGAATTCAGTGTCTGCTTAAGGCTGGAATTGTGGACACCCCAGCTAAAGAGACACCCCTCCTTTTCGTCTGCCTTTATGACATTTATCACAACAGAACTATCTTTTAAATTTTATTGTTTCTCATTCTGTCACTTGAGACCAACATATGTGAATACTCAATAAATATGTGTTCAATTTGTAAGGAATGAATTCATGCACTTTTCTGACCTTCTGTTGCCCTTGAGTGTTAGATCTATGTTTAGAACTTGATCATAGTAACAGCAGCAACCTAGGGTTGAGGTATAATTACCTTTCCTTCTTTCTAATCTTTTATCTCTTTATTTTTGCTTTCCAGATTATCCATATTTTAATATTATGAGTCCCCTTGGTGTCTTTTCAAACTATTTTGGACATACTTTATCATAAGCCCACGTATATCATTTCTCAACCTGGTACTAGTGCTAGACTGGCATTTTGGGCCAGATATTCCTTTGTTGTGAGGGGCTGTTCTGTGCATTATAGGGTGTTTAGCATCATCCTTGGGCTCTACCCACTAGATGCTAGTAGTATCTACTCCCTTCCTTTCCCATTTGTGACAATCAAAATGTCTCTATACAATGTCGCATATCTCCTAGGGTCAAAACTGCTCTAATGGAGAACCACAGCAATAGAGCAATAAAATTTAGGATCCATAATTGACTTCTGTTTCTAAGCCTTGCCGGATTAACCAACACTTTCCATGCCCATGGAAAAACATAGTGACAGCCCTTTCAAGAATGCTGGTCTCACTGTGGCTCCTGCCACCTATGTTTGTTTGCAGGCTCACAAGGAGTATGTTGTGTTTGTTCCCCAACCCATTTATGTTAGTGGTACTCATGCTAACGTTTGTTTGCATGCTCACAAGGAGTATGTTGGGTTCCCCAACCCATTTATGTTAGTGGTACTCATGCTAATTTTTAAATCTAATTAAACATGATGTAAAACTGATAAACTATGAATTTGAAAAACATTGTTTCTTTGAAAACTAAGTTGGACTCTTTGGAAAGATTCTTAAATCAGTTTAAGAAAAACTGATGCTGAATTAGGTCTAGAGGCAAGACAACTATAAATACTGGGAAAGAAAGAAAAGATTTTGACAAGTGTCTTTTCGCTTTTTGTTCCTCTTCACAAATAAGTCAGAAATTCCTAGATAATGAATTGTGGGTGTGATTTATGCACAAAAGACAGTGCCTAACTCCATTCAGTAGATCACACATGGAAAGGAAAGGTGCTGGCCCGATCTTTATAGCAAAAGACAAATGGGGGGGGAAGTGTGCTCTCACACAGTAAATACTAGCAGAGGAAAAACCTTCCATACAACCATGTACTCAAAAAGTTACATTAGAGCCTGGCTGGTGTTGCTCAGTGGTTCAAGAGCATTCGCTCTTGAATCAATAGGTCACAGGTTTGATTCTGGGTCAAGACACATGCCCAGGTTTTGGGCTCAATCCCCAGTACTGGGGCTGTGCAGGAGAAGCTAATCGATAATATTCCTCTCTCATTGATGTTCCTATATCCCTATCCCTCTCCCTTCCCGTCTCTCTAAAAATCAATACAAACATATTTTTCAAAAAGTTACATTAGAGTTGTAGACATTACTTCATAGGAAAGGTAAGTATTTGTTAGCATAAATGAATGGATGAACACAGTTTAAGTGATAATATGTTACCTAAAAATGTGGTGATTCCATTGGAGCATGTAGCTCGATGCTTTAAAAAAATACAAAGAAAGCTGCTAGGATTCACCAACCAATAGGTACTATTGAGATCAGCAAAACACTACAGCTTTTAAAATGATGAATCATTCACTTTTATCT